TGTATTTGACGCAGGCTCTGGCGGCCGTGAGGTTTACGATAAACGAAACCTCCAGATTTTCTCCTTATTTTTTGTTGTTTGGCAGAGACGTGGTCCTGCCTGTAGATAACCTACTGAAGCCCCGAAGAAGGTATATGGGAGAAGATCATCATCAACTATTGCTGGAACAGCAACATAAGATATTCGTACAGGCCAGAAGAAGAATAAAGAGGGCCCAGAAGAAAAGAAATGAGAGGGTGAATGCTGAAAGAAAGGTGGTAGAATTGAAGGTTGGAGACCCTGTCTACTATAAAATCCACCAGAGAGAAGGAAAACTGGACCAGAGATGGGAACCGTACTACCGGATAGTGGAGCAGACGGGCCCAGTATCATATGTAATATGGGATCAAGTGGCAGGACGAGCGAGGAGGGTTCATGCCAATGATCTGAAGAAGGCTGAAATAGCTAACCTGGAAATGAGCGAGCCGAGGCCTAAGAAGACAAGGAAAAGGAAGGTAACTCTGGTTGAACCGGAAGGAATGGAGACGGAGGAAGACTCCGAAGAAGATGAGGAGATAGGTCGACTTGACCAGATAAACGAAGCAGTCCGAGTGACAGAGTTGGAACCCTCAGCGGGGATTAGCGATGTTCAGTCGTCGACTGAGTCAGTGCAGAGAAGACCCCGTGAGATCGCCATCACACCCCCCATGTCCGAAGAAAAGGAAGGAAAAAGACGAAGAGGTCCAATCAAGCAGTCGAAGGCTCTAAAAAAGAGGCACCCTGAACAGGACGAAGGGCCCAGCGAGTGGGAGGAGGAGGATCGAATACCCCTTTCCCAGCTTAAGGAAAGGATAAGGAACAGGAGAAGTTTAGACATAGAGTCGAGAGGTATTGAAGACATTCAAGGCGAAGACTCTAAACAGAAAGAAGAATCAGAGGATGAAGAAGAGGACAAAAAACCTCCTGGACGGGAGTTAAACACAGAAAGAAGGTTAGAGGTTGAACAGGAATCACCTCAGAAGACGAGATCAGGGAGGAGAAGAACCCCAAATCTCAGTAGAACAAAAGGGCTGTGCAGAATAGAAGCATTTAGTGTCGACAGATAACGACACTGGCTCATCCAAAATCCTATTGGCTGACTATGGTAGATGTGAGTGGAGGGGATGGAGTGCGGGCTGCACCTCACAGGGGACGGAAGATCATTGGCATTATTGATTGGCCACCAGTGGTGTCATGAAGTACGACCTTTAGAGTGAGCGCCACGCACACCTGACCAGACCATTCTGTCTGCTAGAGGTTAGTTAGAGGAGGAAGAGCCGAACTAATAGAAAAGTTATGAAATGATTGAGTGATGAGTCGAGCGAGACTAAGTGATTGTGAAGAATAACAACAAGAGAATTTGTTACCTTTCCGGAATGATAGCAAGGTACAAGGTGGAAGCAGACTACATAGCATTAAATTCAGGGAGAACGAAATTCATGTTGCTATCAGCTGAAGAAGCTAGAAGGTGTAGAGATGATACCCTGGGGACTTGTACCTCGTTAAGCCCTATCTATAAAACTGGTAACCGCAGACTGTGCATACTAGAATTGTTTGAAGGGAGGGGAAGGAATCAAAAGAATCTGCCAAGTAGAGGTATTAACAAACTCGGCATTACCACAAGCTATCAGTGTTTCAGACGGGGTGTGGGCAGTAGCCACACAGAAACATATCAGCCTGTCTAGGTATGTGGGGAGAGTCCACAAGGACATTAAGAATAAGGCCACCGTTATCCCTGGTGACGCTACCCATGGGATGTTCGGCGGTTGGGGTGTCCATCTCCTTGCCCCCTATTACCAGATGGAAGAAAGGTATGAAGAAAAAAAGATTCACTCATAGAGATGATTGGTAGAGGCTTAGTCAATTGTACAGAATTATGGGAGCCGATAGTGAAGAGATTCTCTAATGTCACCTTAAATAAGATGCCAGTATTAATGAAGCCAATAGAAAAGATCGATATGGATCACTTAAGGGATAAGTTAAGTGCGTTGGGAGACGAAGGTGTAGCTTGGGAAGACGATGAGCAGATCGCGATAAGTTGGTCAATAGTGATGGGTACATTCCTAGTTATAGCCATCGGGGGTGTAATAATATGGAAGATTAAGAGTAAGAGAAGATTAGCGAACGACAGTCTAGTGAGCATGCAACAACTCGAGAGGGAGATGCCGAGCAGTGTTCCTTGCTCAGACAGGACTGGCGAAGAAATTGCTGAAAGACCAATGGAGGAGGCTGGCGTGAGACCACCACGTGCGGCGGGAAAACCTCCCACGGCAGAGAGGAAAACATTGACCAAGAAGAACAGACCCTAGTGAACACATCTGCACCTACAAACACACGCACACATTACCTTGCATGTAAAACAAAAAGAAAATGAAAAGAACATTTCAAAAATAGAAGAAAATGAAAAGAACATTTCATTGCATGTAGAACAAAAGAAAATGAAAAGAACATTTCATTGCATGTAGAACAAAAGAAAATGAAAAGAACATTTCATTGCATGTAGAACAGAAAGAAAATGAAAAGAACATTTCATTGCATGTAGAACAGAAGAAAATGAAAAGAACATTTCATTGCATGTAGAACAAAAAGAAAATGAAAAAGAACATTTCATTGCATGTAGAACAAAAAAGAAAATGAAAAGAACATTTCATTGCATGTAGAACAAAAGAAAATGAAAAGAACATTTCATTGCATGTAGAACAAAAAAGAAAATGGAAAGAACATTACCCTTGCATGTTAGAAAGTAGAATAGAATTGCATGAGACAAATGCATGGTGCATGTTAAATGATGTAATTGGGTTTAGGTGTCATTTACGGGTAAATGACAAATCGGTTAGGGAGGATTGTGGCACCTTGCATTATTAGAAATATTCATAGAAATATGATTTAATTTTTTTTTACTCGGTTTTACTAAACAGGTTGTTGATTTTTTTTTAAAACGGAAAATAATTGAGTTGAAAATAATTCACTAAGATTGTACTTGGACGATCCTAAGGGAAGAAGAAGGAAAAGGAAAGAGAGGTCGAGAAATACAAAAAAAACGGTCATTAACAAAAACACGAGTCAGAAAGATATCTTAGCTAGCATGTTGACCGAATTTTTAAAGACAATTGGAAGAATAGAATTAGAAATAATAAAAAAAAGAAAGGAAAAGACATGATATCAAAACGGGCCGCTTGATGAAAACCAGATATCGGTCAAAGCATCTAGCCTACTTTTGCGTAGAAAGACACCTTATCAATTTGGATAAAGGGAAATTTTGGGAACAATGAAAACGAAATCTTAATCAGAGAAAAAGTGTTTTTGGGTTGAGGGGAGTGACCGGTGGAACGGTATACAGATTCTGACCTGTTAAAAATTAGAACCCCCACATTGACGAGTGAAAGATGTTTTCAATTCAGATAAATTAAGATTTTCTGACTGCCGGGTCTGACAAAAAACAAGAGGTGAAAAAAAAACGATTGTCTCAGATCACAGATGGCGACAATATTCTTTCCTGAAGTCACAACTAATTAGCGGCGGGCTGGTTGACAGAGCCCAGGTGAGAAAAGCCAAGATTGTCATTTTCGTACGTGCAGAAAAGGCAAAATTGGATTTTGTTTTTTAAAACAAGAACGATGTAACCACGCCCGAAAGGAGGAGAAAGGATGCTCGATCAATAACAATTGGTCGGAAACGGTCACGTGATCTGCAGAAAAGAAGAGAAAGAAATGCCCGATCAGGAACCATTGGTCGAAAAACGGTCACCTGACATACGAGAGACTAAGAGAGATGGGTGCACCTCCCCACAAAAGGCACTGTGAGGAAGTAGGGGTGAAAACAATAGCGATAATGAGAAATCAAAAAAATAATGCGACTTTTGGAATTATCGAGAAAACCCTGACGCCGACAGACCCACCCCAGTTTGTTGCGGCGTCAATAAAAGCAGGACCCCAGTCGACAGAAATCAGTTGAGTTGAGAGTTGCAGCTGGACCGCGGGCAGGGATAGAGCCTGAACGCGGGCATCGGGCCCGATTCACTCGCCCCTTTGCGGGCAAAAGAATCCTCAGACAAGAAATCCTTCCAGCCCAAGTCGAAGAGAGAAGAAGAAGAAGAAAATACAGCCCCGGACGGCAGAAGAATTGCGAGAAGACGATCACCTCGGACGACAGAGAGTTGCGGCTGAGTTGCGGCAAGAGATCCTTCCAGCCCAAGTCGAAGACAAGAGAACTTCCAGCCTAAGTCGACGAAGAAGAAGAAATACAACCCAAGTCGAAGAGAAGAATCAACTGCGAATGATCGATAGAAATTAGCCCCAGTGTCGAACCAAACCACACTCCGACATACACAATTCTAAAGAGTAGGCAATTCGAAATCTTTAGGTTGTGTGATAGAAGCTTGGTGCCATAGTCCACAGAGCGGGTCGGGAATTGAGAACAATTTTGTTTTTATGTAACGGACATTAAGATATAAAAGGTTGTTACCCATTTTTTTCATCAGCAATCTTTTTGTCTCGTGAGTTTATTTTCTCTTTTATTTGTGTTTTGCCACCCCCCATCGGACTCAACTTGTATCGGCCCCAATCCCTGCTGGTCCCGTCTGTCTAAGATCTAAACACACCGTGGGTAGACAGACCGGAGATCGGTACAGTTGCTTTAGTGACCAGGTATTGGAAGCGAGTCGGGAAAGGCGAGGCTGGTGATCATCTGACCAAGGGGTTGGAGCGGCACGCTTGGACCCAGGAGGAGCGACCAGGAGGAGCGACGTCACCGTTGGCGCCGTAACCAAAGGATCCGACCCTGGGCCAGGTGTGTAACCGTCACAATAGCATCTATCTTCTTAGGGAGAGATGATATTCCTGTTTTCTCAATTCGTATAGCAGCTATCTTCTCCGGGAGAGATGATATTCCTGTTTTCTCAATTCGTATAGCAGCTATGTTCTCCGGGAGAGATGATATTCCTGTTTTCTCAATTCGTGTAGCAGCTATCTTCTCTGGGAGAGATGATATTCCTGTTTCCTCAATTTCGTGTAGCAGCTATCTTCTCCGGGAGAGATGATCTTCCTGTTTTCTCAATTTGTATAGCATCTATCTTCTCCCGGAGTGATGATATTCCTGTTTTCTCAATTCGTATAGCAGCTACCTTCGCTGGGAGAGATGATATTCCTGTTTCCTCAATTTCGTGTGGTAGTTATCTTCCCAAGGAGAGATGATATTCCTGTTTCCACAGTTCGTATAGCAGCTATCTTCTCAGGGAGAGATGACCTTCCTGTTTCCTCAATTTCGTGTAACAGCTATCTTCTCAAGGAGAGATGATATTCCTGTTTCCTCAATTTGTGTAGCAGCTATCTTCTCAGGGAGAGATGATATTCCTGTTACCTCAATTTGTATAGCAGCTATCTTCTCAGGGAGAGATTATCTTCCTGATTCCTCAATATCGTGTAGCAGCTATCTTCTCAGGGAGAGATGATCTTCCTGTTTCCTCAATTTCGTGTAGCAGCTATCTTCTCAAGGAGAGATGATATTCATGTTTCCTCAATTTGTATAGCAGCTATCTTCTTAGGAAGTGATGATATTCCTGTTTCCTCAATTTGTATAGCAGCTATCTTCTCAGGCAGAGAAGATATTCCTGTTACCTCAATTTGTATAGCAGCTATCTTCACAGGGAGAAATTATCTTCCTGTTTCCTCAATTTGTATAGCAGCTATCTTCTCAGGGAGAGACGATATTCCTGTTTCCTCAATTTCGTGTAGCAGGTATCTTCTCAGGGAGAGATGATATTCCTTTTTTCCGCAATTCCGTGTAGCAGCTATCTTCTCGTTGAGAGATGATATTCCTGTTTTCTCAATTCGTATAGCAGCTATCTTCTCCGGGAGAGATGATATTCCTGTTTTCTCAATTCGTATAGAAGCTATCTTCTCTGGGAGAGATGATTCTTCGTGTTTCCTCTTTCAATGAAGTGTAGCAGATTCTTTTCTCAATACTATCTTCTCCAGGGGAGAGATGATATTCCTGTTTCCTCAATTCGTATCGCAGCTATCTTCTCCGGGAGAGATGATATTCCTGTTTTCTCAATTCGTATAGCAGCTTCCTTTTTTTAGATTCTTCTCCGAGAGAGAGATGATATTCCTGTTTTCTCAATTAGTATAGCAGCTATCTTCTCCGGGAGAGATGATATTCCTGTTTTCTCAATTCGTATAGCAGCTATCTTCTCCGGGAGAGATGATATTCCTGTTTTCTCAATTCGTATAGCAGCTATCTTCTCCGGGAGATGATATTTCCTGTTTTCTCAATTCGTATTATAGCAGCTATCTTCTCTGGGAGAGATGATCTTCCTGTTTCCTCAATTTCGTGTAGCAGTTATCTTCTCAAGGAGAGATGATATTCCTCTTTCCACAATTCGTATAGCAGCTATCTTCCGGGGGTGATGATATTCCTGTTTTTCTCAATTCGTGTAGAAAGCTATCTTCTCAGGGAGAGATGATATTCCTTTTTCCTCAATTCGTTTAGCAGCTATCTTCTCAGGGAATGATATTCTTATTTCCTCAATTTGTATACAAGCTATCTTCTTGGGGAGTGATGATATTGCTGTTTCCTCAATTTGTATAGCAGCTATCTTGTCAGGGAGAGATGATATTCCTTTTTTTTTCACAATTCGTATAGCAGCTATCTTCTCAGGGAGTGATGATCTTCCTGTTTCCTCAATTTGTATAGCAGCTATCTTCTCAGGGAGAGATGATATTCCTGTTTCCTCATTTCGTAGCAGCTATCTTCTCAATAGAGATGATCTTCCTGTTTCCTCAATTCGTATAGCAGCTATCTTCTCAGGGAGATCTTCCTGATGATATTCCTGTTTCCTCAATTTGTATAGCAGCTATCTTCTTAGTGAGAGATGATTCCTATTCCTGTTTCTAAATTTCCTTGTAAGCTATCTTCTCAGGGAGGAGAGATGACATCTTCTTTTTCCTCAATTCGTATAGCAGCTATCTTCTCAGGGAGATGATGATGTTCCTCAATTTCCTCTTGTCAGGAGAGATGATATTCCTAATTCGAAGCAGCTATCTTCTCTGGGAGTATGATATTCTTTTTCTCAATTTGTATAGCATCTTCTCGGGATCTTCTTTTCCTCAGGGAGTGATGATATTCCTGTTTCCTCAATTTGTATAGCAGCTATCTTCTCAGGAGAGATGATATTTCTTTTTTCCACATCTTCTGTATAGAGAGCAATTCGTATAGCAGCTATCATCTCAGGAGAGATGATATTCCTGTTTTCTCAATTCATATAGCAGCTATCTTCTCCGGAGAGACGATATTCCTTTCTTTTTCTCAATTCATTATAGCAGCTATCTTCTTCGGGAGAGATGATATTCCTGTTTTCTCAATTCGTATAGCAGCTATCTTCTCCTCAATTCGTTTGAGAGATGATATTCCTGTTTTCTCAATTCTTATAGCAGCTATGTTCTCCTCATCTTGATGATATCTTCTGTTTTCCTTTTCAATTCGTATAGCAGCTATCTTCTCCGGGAGAGATGATATTCCTGTTTTCTCAATTCGTATAGCAGCTATCTTCTCTGGGAGAGATGATCTTCCTGTTTCCTCAATTTCGTGTAGCAGTTATCTTCTCAAGGAGAGATGATATTCCTCTTTCCACAATTCGTATAGCAGCTATCTTCTCCGGGAGAGATGATATTCCTGTTTTCTCAATTCGTGTAGCAGCTATCTTCTCAGGGAGAGATGACATTCCTTTTTTCCTCAATTCGTATAGCAGCTATCTTCTCAGGCAGTGATATTCTTGTTTCCTCAATTTGTATAGCATCTATCTTCTTAGGGAGTGATGATATTCCTGTTTCCTCAATTTGTATAGCAGCTATCTTCTCCGGGAGAGATGATATTCCTGTTTTCTCATTTCGTATAGCAGCTATCTTCTCAGGGAGAGATGATCTTCCTGTTTCCTCAATTTCGTTTAGCAGCTATCTTCTCAGGGAGAGATGATATTCCTTTTTTCCACAATTCGTATAGCAGCTATCTTCTCAAGGAGAGATGATCTTCCTGTTTCCTCAATTCGTATAGCAGCTATCTTCTCAGGGAGTGATGATATTCCTGTTTCCTCAATTTGTATAGCAGCTATCTTCTTAGTGAGAGATGATATTCCTATTTCCTCAATTTCGTTTAGCAGCTATCTTCTCAGGGAGAGATGATATTCCTTTTTCCACAATTCGTATAGCAGCTATCTTCTCAGGGAGAGATGGTTTCCTCAATTTGTATAGCAGCTATCTTCTCAGGGAGAGATGATATTCCTTTTTTCCTCAATTCGTATAGCAGCTATCTTCTCAGGGAGAGATGATCTTCCTGTCTCCTCAATTCGTATAGCAGCTCTCTTCTCAGGGAGTGATGATATTTCTGTTTCCTCAATTCGTATAGCAGCTATCTTCTCCGGGAGAGATGATATTCCTGTTTTCTCAATTCATATAGCAGCTATCTTCTCAGGGAGAGTTGATCTTCCTGTTTCCTCAATTTCGTGTAGCAGCTGTCTTCTCAAGGAGAGATGATCTTCCTGTTTCCTCAATTTCGTGTAGCAGCTATCTTCTCAGGGAGAGATGATCTTCCTGTTTCCTCAATTTGTATAGCAGCTATCTTCTCAGGGAGAGATGATAGTCCTGTTACCTCAATTTGTATAGCAGCTATCTTCTCAGGGAGAGAGGATATTCCTGTTTTCTCAATTCGTATAGCAGCTATCTTCTCCGGGAGAGATGATATTCCTGTTTTCTCAATTCGTATAGCAGCTATCTTCTCTGGGAGAGATGATCTTCCTGTTTCCTCAATTTCGTGTAGCAGTTATCTTCTCAAGGAGAGATGATATTCCTCTTTCCACAATTCGTATAGCAGCTATCTTCTCCGGGGGTGATGATATTCCTGTTTTCTCAATTCGTGTAGCAGCTATCTTCTCAGGGAGAGATGATATTCCTTTTTTCCTCAATTCGTTTAGCAGCTATCTTCTCAGGAATGATATTCTTATTTCCTCAATTTGTATGGCAGCTATCTTCTTAGGGAGTGATGATATTGCTGTTTCCTCAATTTGTATAGCAGCTATCTTGTCAGGGAGAGATGATATTCCTTTTTTCCACAATTCGTATAGCAGCTATCTTCTCAGGGAGTGATGATCTTCCTGTTTCCTCAATTTGTATAGCAGCTATCTTCTCAGGGAGAGATGATATTCCTGTTTCCTCAATTTCGTGTAGCAGCTATCTTCTCAGGGAGAGATGATCTTCCTGTTTCCTCAATTTCGTTTAGCAGCTATCTTCTCAGGGAGAGATGATATTCCTTTTTTCCACAATTCGTATAGCAGCTATCTTCTCAAGGAGAGATGATCTTCCTGTTTCCTCAATTCGTATAGCAGCTATCTTCTCAGGGAGTGATGATATTCCTGTTTCCTCAATTTGTATAGCAGCTATCTTCTTAGTGAGAGATGATATTCCTATTTCCTAAATTTCTTGTAGCAGCTATCTTGTCAGGGAGAGATGACATTCCTTTTTTCCTCAATTCGTATAGCAGCTATCTTCTCAGGGAGAGATGATCTTCCTATTTCCTCAATTCGTATAGCAGCTATCTTCTCTGGGAGTGATGATATTCTTGTTTCCTCAATTTGTATAGCATCTATCTTCTTAGGGAGTGATGATATTCCTGTTTCCTCAATTTGTATAGCAGCTATCTTCTCAGGGAGAGATGATATTCCTTTTTTCCACAATTCGTATAGCAGCTATCATCTCAGGGAGAGATGATATTCCTGTTTTCTCAATTCGTATAGCAGCTATCTTCTCTGGGAGAGATGATATTCCTGTTTCCTCAATTTCGTGTAGCAGCTATCTTCTCCGGGAGAGATGATCTTCCTGTTTTCTCAATTCGTATAGCAGCTATCTCCTCCGGAAGAGACGATATTCCTGTTTTCTCAATTCGTATAGCAGCTATCTTCTCCGGGAGAGATGATATTCCTCTTTTCTCAATTCGTATAGCAGCTATCTTCTCCGGGAGAGATGATATTCCTCTTTTCTCAATTCGTATATCAGCTATCTTCTCCGGGAGAGATGATATTCCTCTTTTCTCAATTCGTATAGCAGCTATCTTCTCCGGGAGAGATGATATTCCTGTTTTCTCAATTCGTATAGCAGCTATCTTCTCTGGGAGAGATGATCTTCCTGTTTCCTCAATTTCGTGTAGCAGTTATCTTTTCTCAAGGAGAGAGATGATATTCCTCTTTCCACAATTCGTATAGCAGCTATCTTCTCCGGGAGAGATGATATTCTGTTTTCTCAATTCGTGTAGCAGCTATCTTCTCAGGGAGAGATGACATTCCTTTTTTCCTTCAATTCATATAGCAGCTATCTTCTCAGGCAGTGATATTCTTGTTTCCTCAATTTGTATAGCTTCCTGTTTTCTCATCTTCTTCTTAGGGAGTGATTTTCCTCAATTTGTATAGCATCTATCTTCTCAGGGAGATGATGATATTCCTGTTTTCCTCAATTTGTATAGCAGCTATCTTCTCAGGGAGAGATGATCTTCCTGTTTCCTCAATTTCGTTTAGCAGCTATCTTCTCAGGGAGAGATATTCCTTTTTTCCACAATTCGTATAGCAGCTATCTTCTCAAGGAGAGATGATCTTCCTGTTTCCTCAATTCGTATAGCAGCTATCTTCTCAGGGAGTGATGATATTCCTGTTTCCTCAATTTGTATAGCAGCTATCTTCTTAGTGAGAGATGATATTCCTATTTCCTCAATTTCGTTTAGCAGCTATCTTCTCAGGGAGAGATGATATTCCTTTTTCACAATTCGTATAGCAGCTATCTTCTCAGGGAGAGATGGTTTCCTCAATTCGTATAGCAGCTATCTTCTCAGGGAGTGATGATATTCCTGTTTCCTCAATTTGTATAGCAGCTATCTTCTCAGGGAGAGATGATATTCCTTTTTTCCTCAATTCGTATAGCAGCTATCTTCTCAGGGAGAGATGATCTTCCTGTCTCCTCAATTCGTATAGCAGCTCTCTTCTCAGGGAGTGATGATATTTCTGTTTCCTCAATTCGTATAGCAGCTATCTTCTCCGGGAGATGATATTCCTGTTTTCCTCAATTCATATAGCAGCTATCTTCTCAGGGAGAGTTGATCTTCCTGTTTCCTCAATTTCGTGTAGCAGCTGTCTTCTCAAGGAGAGATGATCTTCCTGTTTCCTCAATTTCGTGTAGCAGCTATCTTCTCAGGAGAGATGATCTTCCTGTTTCCTCAATTTGTATAGCAGCTATCTTCTCAGGGAGAGATGATAGTCCTGTTACCTCAATTTGTATAGCAGCTATCTTCTCAGGGAGAGAGGATATTCCTGTTACCTCAATTTGTATAGCAGCTTTCTTCTCAGGGAGAAATTATCTTCCTGTTTCCTCAATTTCGTGTCCCAGAAATGTAAGTTTTTTTCGTATTAAATGTTCATTTATTGTCATTAATTTTGAATCCAAAATATTGCAGGTAATCAAAAAAAATGTTCCAGGTATTCATCCATATTCTTGCTTGTTATTAACACGTCATCGATCTATGCGAATTTGACAGAAAAACCTCTTAACACTTCGTCTATCAACCTTTGAAAAGACTGAGCTGCGTTTCTTAAACCAAACGGCGTCCTGGTGAATTTAAATAAGCCGAAAGGAATGGTGATAGCAGTCTTCGGTATATAACGTTCTTCATCGGAGATTTGGTAGTACGCTTTGAATATCCTGTAATCTCAAGCGTAATCGTGTTTATGGGTGAATAGCAACCTCGGACTGTTGACGCATTTAGTCTAAAATCCCTACATAAGCGCCAAGCAGAAGAATCTGGCTCGAATTACTCCTAACTGTAGCTGAAATTCTTCCTTTGTAATTTGTATTTTGCCGGACTGTGTCTCCCCAATGTAGAACGAAATATTAGTATGTGGTGTTTAGCGGTCTGCAATACTGGGTCTGAATGCGGTTGTAATCTCTGAAAATTTAGGTAGAATTTGAAAATTATCGGGAAGGAGTTCCACGAAATTTTCGTTGAATTTCGTTGTCTATAAGTGCCTTTGTAGCCATGTTCACTGATAGGTTGAAATGTGTAAGGAAGCCTAGTATTGATGTCTTCACGTCTGCTTGTTTAAAAATTCACGAAAATCCAAAATTTAATATGAGTGATTTTCCTCCATATGTGTCAGTTTTAGTACCGTTCGCTGCTTGGATTTTATAAACACGCTGTTTCTGGTATCGGAAGGGTAACGCTACTTTCGGCACCTGCGTCAACTAAAAATTCATATCCGTGTCATGAAAATGGACGACTTTTCTACGAAATATGTGGGTGCAGTGGTCGTCATCACTGGTTGGTATAGGTGTTTCCCTGTATCGGTGGTACGAATGCATAATGTTTGTGCTATTTTTAGCGTTTGTACCAAATTTATAATGCTACAGCATATTCCTGTATTTTAGATTATATTAACATTTTGCGTTTCCGCATATCCTACCAGTTTCTCTCGGTCGGTGTCTTCCAAAGAAAGGCGTTACAATTTTGGTTACATTGTTCAGTAGCTTATTCAATCATAGTCGACGCAAAATATTCTCAGCCAATGTGTGAGGTTCGAGAAAAATCCTCATGTGTCTCACGAGTTGTGAAGGTGTACTATTTTTGAAGGGGTACATTACTAATCAGATTTGATAACCAGTCCGGTGTGAGATAGTTTGTGTCAGCGTGTCGTACGGATTAGCCTCAGGCACTGCCTTCAACAAGACCAGAATTTCACGGGAGACCTCCGTTGGAAGTTTTTCAACGACATAGATGAATTTTGTTTTTTGTAAAGTCACTTTTCTTGTGATAAAAATAGCCTGCTGTTGCAGCGAACCATGTCTGTATATCCAATGGGTTGAACGGTAGCAACTGTAACGATAGGTTAGCTTTAGGTAGTCCTTCCTATTCTAATGTTATTATGGAGAAAACTTCGTTTTGTCTTTGTTACAGAAGTTGGCGTCTCTCTACCTCGCAAAAATAATGTGGTTGTAATAAAATCTTCCTGTAGGTGCGGTAATATCTTATAACTATTGGCGAAGGAAAGAAACAAAGCTGGGAAATGGCTATAAATTGAATGGAGAATAGTAGTTGTACCCTACACACATAATCCTCATTCTTTTTGTACTGTTGGTCCATAATTTGTTTCTTTTTCTCTGTGTTTATTTTTGCTTTGTTCCTTATCTCCTCCAACCTCACATGTAATACCCGTATGGTGTTTCACAGCAAACTTTTTATTTCCATTTCTATTCTTAGGGCTGCTTTCACAGTTTCCTCCAATAGTTCACATAGTTTGGGGATTAACCTGGATAATCCATCTGCATGCCCTAACCTCTTTGACGGAAGGAACTCCATCTTAAAATTATAATTTAATAATATTGTCCCCCATCTCTGAACTCGATTTGCCGTATGTGTAGGAATCCCTATTTTTGGAATAAAAAAAAAACAGACAATAACGGTCTGTAGTCAGTTTGAAGCATAAAACTTCTTTCATGAATGAACCTATGGAACTTTTTATCGCAAAAATTATCCCTAAAGCCTCTTTTTCTATTTGGCTGTACCCTTTTTTTCAGCTGGCATTAGGGACCTCGACGTATGTGCAATCGCTTTTACTTGGCCGCTGTTTTCTTTGCGTAACATTACGGCTAAGTCCAAATTAATAGTGTCACTTGCAACAATAATATCCTTATTTGAATCGTAATGCGCTAGACTCAAGTCTATCAAAAGCACTCTGACATTCAGTACTCCAGTTCCATTTAGAAACTTTTTTTAATAATTTGTTTAGAGCAGCTCTTAACACGTGCATATTCTGGGATAAAATTACCGTAGTAATTTTCTACACCCAAAAATGCTTGTAGTGCACTCGACGGGTCTGGTTTTCTTTCTTTCGCATCTATAACCTGTCCCAAATACTTAATTTTAGTTCCAAGCCATATTGTTTTATTTTTTTCAAAAACTTCTTTAACATGTTCGGCATATTGTTCTCAGCTTTCACTCTTAATTAAAATGTCGTCAAAGCAGGTTGCTGCGAAGTCAAAATCATTAAATATTGTATCCATTGCTGGAAAATGCCTGGTGCGACCCTTTATCCCGAATTGCAGTCTGTTGAATCTATATTCATCCCTGATGCGTATTTATAGTTAAATACTTCGCACATTTTTCGTCGACAGGAATCTGGAGGTATGCCTCAGATAAATCAAGTTTTGAAAACACATTGCCACCATTTAATTTCGCGAATATGCCTTCAGGACTTGGTAGAGGATAATTATATGTTTCCAAGAAATCGTTCAATCCTGTATAAAAATCTACGCCGACCCTAATTTTGTTATTTTTCATTTTCACGTAAACGGCTTGCCCACTCACTGTAGTCCGTTTTGCTCAATATACCTATTTATTCTAAGCAGTCTAATTCTTTACTAATGGAGGCTTCGCCTGCAAAAAAGTACTTTTCTTTTCGGTCTAAAAATAGGCGTCACATTTTCTTTAAGTTTGAATGTCGCTTTAGCTTTTGTGCACCTGCCAAGACCCTCAAACAATTTCAGGAAATTTTATCTTTAATTCTTTTTTTTTATTTTTCCACGCTGTTTTAATTAACACTGACACTATAGAAGAAGGAATTAATTGATTGCTTAAAAAGATCGAATAACAATCCAATCCATGGCGAATGGGTTCTGAGTTCATTTCATAACGAATTCTTTTAAATTTTTGTGTAAAATTCTCCATCAAAATTTAGTTTATTTCCTGTAATACCATGAGCAATTTTTTCGTCGCCAATAAAGTTGGTCTGCCAATTTTTTCTCAAGTTTGTTCATTTATCAATGTCAGATCTGAACCGGAATCCAATTGAAACTTAATATTTTTATTGTTCATCTGTACATTTACAAACTTTCTTTTCATTTTCACTTCTTTGTTTTCCATTATAGCTAAGTTAACTGTATTTTCATTTTTCGACCCCTTTTTACTTTTGGGTTTTCTGCATTGCCTATGCTTATGTTCTTTTTTGCCACAATTAAAGTAATCTTTCCTTCCAAATGGACATTCTTTGTAATAATGAATTCGTTCACAGCCATAACAAGGATTTATTTTGCGGGCAAATTTTTTTTGTTGTCTTTGTTTAACTTCCTGGATTTTTGACACATCGCGTTCTTATATCCTTGCTGTGTCCTGATTTTCTATTCGTTTGCATTCTTCTGCGGCCATTTTAGACTGATTTTTTGATTTTGTTCTAATTTAGATAAAAATCTGGTTCTAATACCGCCATCTTCTGGAGCCGTATAAAAAAAGCACTTCAACATATCAGGATCTTTTTTCTTTTACTTTTTTCACACTCTCTATTGACAATCCCGGCAAAAGTCGAGTAATCCTCCCCACGTTTTGGAAGGTTTAAATACTGCCATCTTGTGTTGAATAGAGAACTTTTATCCCCAAAGATTTTTTTTTCAGAATTAAGACAGTTTCCATGAAAGATATTTCCCCAGGATTTCTCGGAAGTATGTACTTTGCATACTTTTCGTGTTCACTTGGACCAAATTTTCCGAGCAACTGATGTATGTTCTTTTCGTCCGACCATGCAGCGTAATCTTTTTGGAAAACCTCTTCATAACGACGAAAATACGCCGCAAAAGTTACATCCTCCCCTGTACTCTACTTCGCCAACTGAATTTATCCCCGAATCCTGAGAAAAGAATTTGCATTGGCTTGCTCTTTTCCTTCTCCAACACTAACAATTCGAACATTTTTTTCAAACTGTTCGTTTTGTTTTTCAGAGTGTTCCTGGTTCGAACATCGTTGTTGCTGCTGGATTTTCATTTCATTTTTCCACCATTGCTTCTTTTAAATCCTCCATGTTTGCTTTACTGAACAAATAAAATTCTTATTTGTTTTAACACGTCAAGCTGTTATGCAGACTTGGACTTAATCCGAGGTTGAGTCGTCGCCAACCATTTTTTAATATATGACTGTAAATTTCTTTAAAGCCAAACTCTTGGTCAGTTTTGGTATTACACTGAAAATTTTTACACTCGAAATTTTCGTTGGTATCCCACTGGAAAATT